ACCCCGGAAAATGTTGCCCGAGTCCAACAAAGACTTTCCTATGCTGAATGGCAACATGAATTTAATGTCGGGCCCTTCGTCGGCCCCCGCCGGTTCGACTGCTGGCCAGGTTCCCTCTAATCTTGAAAGGGGAAACCCTCTTGGTCCGGGAATGCTGCAACTTCAGCAGCACCTACAACACCCCCAGCAACCGCCACAACAGTCCTCGTCCCCCAACCCGGCTGCTATGATGCAACCACCGCCACCACCACCTCCGCAGAACATCGTGCCGTCTCAGTCACCACAAACGTCGTCCAATGTCTCTGCAGAGAGGGATGAGGAGCCCCGCCAGCTGACCGCGATTTTCCGACCTGATGACGCAGGGGAATGGAAGGAGAAGCTACGGCAGTCACATGAGGCAGAGCAGGCACGTCTAGCACGGGAAAACCAGCAGGGATGGGGTGGCTCGGACGAGGAAAGCAAGGACGAGGAAGGAGACGTCGAAGATGATGAGTCGTCCGTGGTAAGCGATGACAGCGAGGGCAACAAGGTTTGGCGGCCGAAGCGGACATTGAGAAAGTGCGCATCACAGTGTTATCATTCTACCGCTTCAAGCTAACTCTGTCGGCTAGTCATTTGGATGCCGTTCGAGCTCTCGCTTTCCATCCGCATGAGCTGGCACTTGCTACAGGTGGAGACGACTGTACAGTGAAAATATGGCGGATGGACGTGACTGGCCTCGCTTCTTCTGCGTATGTGCCTCAACAATGATTTGGGATCGGCGTTAATGGTCCAATGTTTACAGCTCACGGCCGACCACTGAAATTGAACCTCAATTGACTCTCCGAGGTCATTCGGCAGCCATAACGCGGCTGATACATGCACCCTCCAAACAATTATTGTACTCTGCCTCACTCGACTCCTCTATCCGGGTATGGGCACTCCCCGCCATCTCACATACAACCTACGCGCCGTATGACGAGACTCGCGCCCGTGGCGAACTTGTCGGGCACACCGATGCCGTGTGGGACCTCGCGCTCGTCCGGGACGAGAGCACACTCATCAGTTGCGGTGCCGAGGGTGCGGTGAAGGTTTGGGATGTCAGTGGACCGTCTGGAGGCGGATCGCTCAAGCTGACATGGGGCTGGGCGGGGTTGGAAAGTGCGGAAGAGGCGCAGCTGCAAGACGATGCGGACGTGCCTGGCGCGACGGCGGTTGAGGCCCTCAAAGTCGATTTAAAAAAGGTCGCGGTTGCGTACCAGAATGCCGTCGTTAAGATATTTGATATCGAGAATGGGAAGGAATTATCGAAACTGCCGACTGATATCAGTTATGGTGCGTTTTAACATTGATGTCAAGTTCATCTGCTGACGTTACCTCTAGACGGTACACCGGCGACCCAGATTAACCGCATAGTTTCGCATCCCACCATGTCCCTCCTCGTCACCGCCCACGAGGACAAATATATCCGGATATTCGATATAGTGACAGGTATTTTTACTGCGTGTAGAATTGTTGGGGCTCCGCTCAATACTTTGTAGGGCAATGCACCCACTCGATGCTCGCTCATCTCGACGGCGTCACGTCCTTGTCAATTGACCCGGCGGGCTTCTCGCTCGTTTCCGGCAGCCATGACTGCTCTGTGCGGTATTGGGACCTGCTTGGCTCGCGGGCCTGTGTACAGGAGAGTACGACTCACCGAGAAAAGGCACGCGAGGGCGTGCTGGATGTCGAGTTCCACCCGTCACTGCCCTTCATGGCCAGTGCTGGCGCTGACGGCGTGGTCAAGCTCTATGCATCATCCTCGTAGCGTTACTTCGCATTTCGCTCTAGCCCCAACCTCTGTTCCGATTGCTACGTTCTTTTGCTTTCAGTGGTGGGACTCATTTTCGCTGCACCATAGCTTTGCTTAATAGAATGTTCATAACGGAATTCTTTTTTCTCCCTCTCTTTTCGCTACGCTTGCTTTCTTGTACATTCCAATGTTTAACGATTGTTACGAACGCAATTACTTATATATGAAGATAATCGCATCCACACTGGCAGCAATTTACGTTCTATTGGGAATGCACAAACAACAGCAAGAGGTCTCGTTGGAGGAGAAGCACTATGGCTACAGGAGGGCTAATTATACAGCGGCAAATGCAAAATGCAAGACGGGATAAATAGACGGTGTTGTGGGGGCAAGAGATTATATTCCTGAGTTCAACAGAAGTTGGTCAGCTGTGCAATGCGACAAATGAACAGCCTACGTATATGCATTCCTTGACGCGCGGCCAAGATTTCTACTCCGAGCTCTTTGCCTTCCAGCAGCGCTTTTATTTGCTGGATGATCAGAGTCTGGTTCGGCCGATCCGGAGCACCGTCGAGCGTGTCCTTGCAATGCATGACAATCACACGTACGCCGTCTAGGGCGCCGCGCAGATCGCTCGGCGGAGACGCAACCACAGGGCTCAACATCGTTCGTTGCTTTTTACGGACAGGACGCGCAACAGGGCTGGACGCCTGTGCGGCACTGTTTCGGAATTTGACTACTTCAGCAGCGAGGATTTCGAGCTCGTGTACGAGGTGCTCGGGTTTCAGGTGGCCGTAAAGCGTGTCGTCGCTCCGAGAAGACGGCCAGGAGCATTCGATGAATATGGTGGACAGGAATGAGGGAATTTTGGGCGCGGCGGCGCGCCATACATTTATGGTTCGCGGGAATTTACTAAGCGTGTCTGGCTCGAGATCACCGAAAAAAAGAAACTCGAGCTTTGTGGGGTCGTAGCGGATGAAAAATGCCGTCGAATCGTAATTTCCTGCTACGTTGTGTCCATGAGACAACGGCAAGGTTCGGACGGAGACATTAGGCATGATGAGATCGTAGGAGTCGTTCATGCCAAGTCTAACAAGAAAATGAGTAAACAAGAGGTGAGGGGGTAGGACCACGTACAAACTGTACAGCAGCTTATGATCGTCGTCCTCCTCCTTCCAAGAAGCCAGGTTTGGCCATATGCGGTCTGCGAAGACGCTTTCTAGGTCAGCAAGAGTTTGCTTCGCGCCGAAGATCCGCTTCCGCGGTCCACCCAATGAACCAGCCGACAGAACGAGCGAGGTGACATGATCCAGATGTGCATGGGAGACGAGGAAACAACTGGTACGACGCTTGTTTATCTCATGCTGAATAGTAAGGGACAAGAGACGAACCGCACGAGCGAGTAGATTTCGGTTGCCGAGTATGGCTTTTCGCGTACTGGTTGATCGGGGGTGTCGAAAAGATGTGGGTCGGACTGGAGAAGTTTTTGAACGGTTCCTTGACCGGAGCCTGGGTTATATGGTGGAAATGTTTTTTAAGATGTTTTCCTGAAATAATTGATCGTCTTCCGGAACGAACCTGCCTCCAAGGCGACTATACCATCTTCCCAGGCAGCAACAGAAGGCTTGAAGAGATAACTGTCGCGCAGGACAAGTGAGGTGGTGGCTCGTGTATGCGCGTCCGCTGCTGACCTTGACAGGTTGGTCTCGTCGGGACCTCCCCCTTCACCGACGACTACGAGGTCAAACATGAGAGATGGGCGACCTCTTTATTTGGCCAGGAACTGTCCGGGGCCGAACAGAAACACAGTGAAGGCGGGCAACCCTGTTGGCTGATCGTGGATCGCGGATGTAGACGCGCCGATAAATAACAGCAGAGAGGGGTGCTAGTAGAGAGAGAAAGGTGCTTTCGATGCCCCAGGGTTGAGAGAGCCCGACTTCAAGACCAGGGCAGTGGCCCTTTAAGTATGTATTGACAACCTCAAGTGGCGGAAGGATTGGACGCGTTTGATTGCGTGGCCTGAATGCAATGCATTGACAAAGTTCGATCGACTCGAGAAAATACAAAGACCTTTTACAGGTCATTGTACTTGTCGAACAGCGTCTCAGACAGCCACAGAGATTCGAGAACAACAAATTAACTTATCTTGTATGGCTGTTACTTACGAGGAATTTGCTGCAGATCCAGTAATACTTGGAAAGTATCAACCCACATTGAAACGTCCCTGAACTTTACTTAGTTGCATATACAGTGACCCTCCGGGCATCCCTGGTACCGAGAATCGGAACATTTGCTGCATGGCTATTCATTTACAAGGAATTTGCTACAGAGACTCAGTAAGTTTCAGGGAAACTGGAATTTAGTCGGTAATAGCATGCGCGCATCGGCCAACTCAAATTGAGACGCGGCCACTCAGGACCAGTTGAACAGCATGGAATATTTTGTCGAATGATTCGAAGTTCGAGTCTCCACTGTGGGCGCAACAGGAAAGGATTGATCTGACTGAGTGCGAGGCACATCTTGAACACCTTGCAACGGAAGCTAGCACATGAATAAATGAATCAAATATGATCCTAGCGTCCCTGCTCGAGGCTCGAGGTCAGATCCCTGATATACCGATGGCGGGAAGGAATGTGCGCGTGGACTTCAAGCATCCTATGAGTCAAACATTGAACTTTTCATGCCCTCCCCGAACTCGCACTGAGCGGCACAAAACGACTGTTGATCTTCCTGCTGGCTATTGAATAGCAATAAATTAGACAGAGACTTCGCATCAGGTTTGAGGTTCATGAACGAGCCACTGCAAGTCCCAAGCATTGCAAGTCCGAGTTCGGAGTCACCGGTGACCGAGCCCATTGCCAGGTGAAAGTTGCCAGTGCTGTCACTGCTCAAATTCAATGCCCAGGGTTCGGGGCTTGACCGGTTGTGGTACTGATTCAGTCAGAAAGGTGTTGTTTGGGCGGTGGTGAGTCGCAATGGACGTGTACTGAGCACTGGCAGTGAGGACTATATGGAGGGAGCAGAGACTAAATTGAGTCAATGTTCTGTGGCACTCCGAACGCCGAATAGGCGATCAAATCGATCAAAAAGATTTGGAGGGTGTGACCAGGTGTGACCGTTACAATCATCGATCTCTGATCTGGTCGCGATTTTGCGTTCGACGTTTGGAGACTGGAAAACCTAAACTGGTACCAGGAACAACAGCAAAAGAAAAACTAAAATAATCAGTCGCTACTGTGGTTCGAACACAGGACATTACGATGACGATGGTCACGTGATTAATACGTGACCCGTCACATGACTTTTGTTGCAATCGTACGCTCTACCACTGAGCTATAGTGACCTAGCCGACGCTGCGCAGGTTAACATTCCGATGTACTGGCGAATCTTTGCCACAGCTTTCATTTCAGTTGCCGTAACGGCGTAAGTGACGCGTCCATTTTGTCCAGAACCAGAACGACACTGCTCAATATGGCAGAAAAGAACGAGGTCGCGTCGAAGAACGAAAAGTAACCCTGTCTCTTCGAGTCAAGATTTCTTTGAAAACCTCATTCTATACCAGAGTCTTCCGAGTGTTCAAAGACAAACTGTCCAGAACTGACAACTATCCGCATTTCTGTGAAAAGTTCGGGTCATGGCTCAGTAATGAAAAGGCATATTATCCCGAAGCCCGACCTACGGTCATAGTTCTGGAAGCCCCATCCGTGCGTATACTGACCTGCAATACAGATTGTGGAAATTCTATTGGTGTTTTGATTCTCTGCGCCGTCAATGACTTGAATGAGTTCTAATTGGTTGAAAGATCGCAGAAGACACCCTCCGCACGGCAATGCACTCCATGGGAGATGCCTATCCCGCCCTGGCTTCTGCTTTCATTGGACTTGTAAACACTGTAGCGCCTTACCAGGACCGCTTTGAACAAGATCTGCAAGGTCAGCAGGTAGATTTCAACGCGCTGCAAGGTTGAACGGTATTTGTTGTCAAGCCTCCCTTCAGTATCTTTTGCGTACTGTGCAAGAAATGCAAAATCCTCCCCAACATCGAAATCCTCCTCCGTAATCTATTGCCTTGGTCTGCCACCCTGCACCTAAGAATATCCGCGCTTCTAGGCATACAGCACAAGATACGACACCTTTTCCGACAGCGCCTGTCATTGAACCTAGTCAACGGATGCGCCCTAGCTCTTCGTCCTTGGCCGATGCCTTGACTCCCACTTCGGCCACTCAAGTTTCTGCCCCTTCGCCTCTGGAATCGAAAGCGGCATCTGGTTCTGTCGTTCCTCTATCAACAACGGATGGCCCCCAAGTACCCACCACAACAACAGTAATGAAACGTGTACCGCATCCATCCGACCGCCTGATTTTTCTACGTTCAGGTTCAAGCAGTTCCGTCCTCCTCGACCACCCCCAAGCTCAACGTTAACTCAGCAATCGAAGCTGTCTCTACCTCTGCTCCCGCGCCAACTGTCAAGACTAAAAAGAGAAAGAAGAATAAGAAAGATGATTTCTCCAGTCTGCTTCAAGTTGATGTTCAGAAGTATTATGAGAAACGAGGCGTGAAGCAAATAGCTTCAGAAGGAATGTCCTCCCCGGTGGTTGGCACACCAATAGACCTCACTCAGGCTTCTCCAGTCCATGTTCCAGAGGCTGTCATCACCCCTGTGACTGCTGCCGCGACACCTCCGCCACCCCATGTTTCCTCCCTTACTGAGGGCACTCGGACCGCTTCAGCTCCGATGCCTGTTACGGATTCTTCGTTCGTTATACCCACACATCTTACACGGGGGCCGCCTTCTCGCCCTCCAACCCCAAAATCGGAACACAACCTACCACCACCTGCGGACAGAGTACAGTCCATTAATGGCTCGAGCATGATCGAGGTCGACCAGTCACAATCTCAAGATGCCGATATGATGGTATGTTCCAGTGCAGGTATTACTGTACAATCAATTCAAGATAATCTCCCGTACTGTAGATTGCAACTTCTGGAGAGGATGTGCAACTGTCCTCTGAGATGAACGACGAAGTGAACCGTGTGCTCTTCAATCTGACGGGGGTGTCGCATCTAGCAGTGGCCGATATTACTCTCGGGCTTGACGAGACGATACCTCCCCCGACATCTATGGCCATCGACAACTCTGTCGATCCGCCGCATCCTACAGCAGATGCACATTCATCATCAATCAAAGCAGAATCTGAAAATGCTGTTGAGAGTGCCGTTGACGACGCTGTAGACATGGACCTCGATGCGACGCCAGAACCTGTTCCTGCCCCGGCGCCTGAGGTCAAAGTAGACCCTACGCCAGTAATAGCGTCCCCAAGAACCTTTCACGCAATTATCGAAGAAATCGTCAATGACGCCAACAGACGCATGGCTTCGGTATTCAATCTCGTAGCTCATGACTGCGTAACTCCTACTCAACGGGGTCTAGCAGGCTCCCCGTCAGGAAGACTTACCGCTTCCCAAGACCCCAGCTGATTTTATCGCGGACGCTACGCCGTCAACGAGTGCGTTCTGGCGGGCTCGTATCATTGCAATCCTCAGACTTCCCGCAGAAATTGACCTTGGAATCTCAACGGTGGTAGCCCAGCACCGCGGGTTAGCCAGTGGCTCAATCATCTTGGACTTTTCAGTCAAGCAACACCACGCGGATGGGATATTAAAGTGGACGACTCGTTCAGAACATTACGAGTAGGTTTCCATTGACATAGTGGCCTTCTACTCTGACTCGTAATAACCATGTAGCGCACTCGAAGACAGTTTCTGTCTGAGTCTTCTATGTTTCAAGACATCTGACATTGAATCGATGACTTCTATGCAAAGTCGAGATCTTCAGGTCGTTCTGCCTTGTTTTAAGTGTTCTTGGCCCCAGAACGGTATACTTCCGCGTCATCCATGTCCTGGCTTCTGATTTATGCTCATCTCTTTCAAGGTGGGTTATCTCTGGACGCGCCGTGGAAAGGCCAACGTACAACATTTCCATTGTCGCCGCCTTTTTCGGTGCGTCAACGGCTCATCCATCAGCACTGATTTCACTCACGATTCACCAACAGCTACCGCCGAGCGGAGTGCTCGACGTGTCTTTATTCTCGACGCCCGGGCACAACACTTTCCGTATCACCCAGACGCGGGACATGACTGGATATTTTCTCCTCCTTTGTGCGCACAAACCTACCCCCTCGCAGCTTGCTGCGGTCGCGCGCCGCCGCCACAAGGAGAAGGACTGGGCGGCTTGGCTCAAGAAAATATCAGACCCGTTGCAGCTACCGTTCAGTACACCTAGTATCCAGTTGTAACTTAGGAATGCAGTGTATATCTTGTATAGCTAACAGCATAATTTCTCTGAGACGCCAAACCACAGTTGGTCTGCAGAGATCTCGTTGCATCGTATCCTGAATCGGCGCTCCTGAACGAAAACGAGCTTCATTTAATTCCAATGACGGCCACTAGAATTGGTAGAAATTGTGGTTTAGTATGTAACCGTTGGTTTTGATTGAGCGCATGCTGTTTCTATCCTGTTTTCGCTCCCAACGAGTGTCCACCGGATACTTATATGACATACAACAGATCTAAAGGTTACTCGTGCGTACAACAAGCGTACAGTCCCAACGTAAGAGTAGAAAACAGGTTTCATGGCATACATTCATTAATATCATCACAGTAAGGAATGTGCTACTTAAATATGTACAGTATACAGATTAAGTTACTGAAGTCACTGAGCGAATGTTGGAATTGGAATCCTACTGGTGGAAAGCCTTCTCGAGGCTGGTGTTACATCAGACGGCCGCCGCCTCAGAGGGGCAGCGGCATCTGCATTTTCTTTGCCCTGCTGAATAGCGGGCGATGATGGTGTTGGCAGCTTCACAACCTTAGTTTTACCCGCGACCACTGTGGCCGACGAAGACCGATTGAGTGGTCGCGAAGCAACTGGGGGTGAACCGACAATCGAGGACCGAGATCGGAGCGGGGGAGGTCCCATAGATCCACGCTTCGAAGGGGTTGGCGCGACGGAAGTACTGAGGCGCAAGCTTTTGCTCAGAGTAGGTGCGTTTTTCATGGCACTTTCGGTGGAAGGTTTGCGCTCCCTGGAAAGATCGACACCGACTTCGGAACTGAAGGAAGGTGGCCGCGACATCTTAGGAGCAACGGAGACAGAAGATTCACGACGATGATGTGTAGCCGCAGGGGGTTTTGAAGCCGTAGTATTCCCTGCGGTTCCACGGACGCCAAGACGTCGCTTGAGCTTTTGGGATATTTAGCTCGTGCCGTATACAAACAAAAAGCAACTCACCAACTCCAGTTCCTGTTGCTTTGAGTCCAACGCGATATTCAGACCCTCCAGGTCGAGCTTGTCTTGCGAACGCTGCTTGGTAATATGTACTATCTGAACTTCCTTGTCCGCACTTTCCTGCTGCAGATCGCGATTTTGACTCTTCAGTCGATCGACGTCAGCCTGGAATTCATACAGCGCCGACGCTTGTGTGTCGATCTCCAGTTGTTTCCTTCCCGAGTCCTGGAGCGCAACTTCAAGAGCGGCAGCGTGTTCCCGCTGCATCCTAGCCAGCTGCTGGCGAAGGGCTTCCACTTCACCCGTACCCCTTTCCCGGTCGCGTAGCCACTCTTGTTTCAATTCTACGACCTGATTCTCGCTGCGCTTGAGTTTCTCCAAGATCTGGTTAGAGCGCCCTCAGTAATCGAAATTGTGATGCGATAAGGCGGCATACCTGATCTCGTTCACTCTCCAAAGACTCCTTGACACGCCACACTCCTCGTAAATCATCCTCGAGATCGACAGCCTTTTGTTCGGCAACTTCAACGCGGGCATGCCTCTCTTGCAGTTTGCCAACTTGGAGCTTGAGCGAATCACGCTCCATCGCAAGTGAACACTTGCCCGTCTCTGAGACCTCGGCAGATCTCGCCAACCTGTCGGCGCGGTCACAGGCGACAGCGAGCTCCGCTTTCAGTTCAGCGATCTCGTCGTCCCGAGCGTCGATCCGCTGCTTAGACACAAGAAGCTCTTCAACCAGCTCTGCATTATTGCGCTGAAGATCGTCCTTCTCCGTATTCCAAGCCATCTCGAGACTTTGATGCCGCTGTTTCTCTGCTTCCCCGCTTGTCTCCAGGGCCAATACGGCTGCTTTCAACGCTTCCTCGGCCATTCGTTCCTGACATTGCTTTTCGCTTAGACTGCCCAAGGAGTCCCTCAATCTCGCTGCCTCATTGCGTCTTTCACCCGCTAACATCTCTAGACGTCGTAACTCCTCTCGGAGAACGACCTCCGTCTTCTTCCATGCATCCCTCTCCCGTTCTAGACCTGCGATCTGGCGGTGCAACATCCGGAGC